CCCCCTGAGCTGCCGCCTCCAGCGCTCCCCGGGTGCGCTCCTCCGCGTGGGGCGGCGGGGCGCCCCGCTGAGGAGCGGCCCGGTCACCGGGGTGGGGGTGGGGGATCTCGCTTTGCAGCCCGAGCTGGCCTCCAGCGACCCTCCTGTCTCAGCCTTCCGAGGGCTGGGGTTACAGGCCACACCCGGCTGAAAGTTGCGCTTGCAACATCGTACTTTCAGGACCGCGGCAGCGTCAGTGCGCGAATGGTTTCCGAATGCCTGCTTTCTCCCCTCCAGGCAACCCGGAATTCATGAGTCTCAAAAGACACAGCCTCAGTGGCCCCTGCCTTTCTCCTGCGGCGTGGGCCTGAGCCGGCGCTTACCTGCCAGCGCTGTAGATCGCAAGTTCCACCCGCAAGAAACGGCCCTCGACTGGGTACCCAGCGGGGGCCGTGTGCCTCAACGTTAAACTCGTGCGGAGGTCTCGCATGCTAACCCCGCCCGCTGCCGTAGCCCGACAGCCCGCTGCCGGTCGTGCGCCTGGGGTCAGCCCCGGAACCGTGCCTACCCCAGCCCGGGCCGTCCTGTCTCGTCCAAGTGCCCGTCCCGAGTGCGCGCGCCTCTGATTCCACCGCCCACGCTGCCCCGGCCTGAAACAGTCTTCGGTGGGGAAAATGAACCCGCCCCGTGTGAGGGAGAGGGGTGAGCTGAGGTCCCTTTCTCTGGGGACCTGTTCTCCAGCGACAACGGCACCCAGGGGGCGCCGCTTTCCGGCGCGCAGTCTCCCGGCCCATCCCGGCCCCGTGCTGCTGGGGAGGACTGCTTCTGCACTAGGCCGGCCGGAGATCTGGCCTGTCCTTGCCACCTGAGTGACCCCAACCGCCGGCGTGGGCCCGATGCGGAGCAGGCAGGATCTTTTGTTGAAACGGTGGCTTTTCACAGGCTCTCGGGCACCGTCTTAGGTGGCCCGGCGCGGGCTGGGATGCTGCACAGCCCCTGCCCTGTGATCTTGGGTCTGCAGCGCCTGCAGGGAAAATCATCCCGCTCTGTCTAAGCAGGGCTTTCGCTTGGCTTTGGCGGGAAGGCGGCCTGCCTGCGCGTTGGGAGCTAGCGTGACCCCCGCCCTGCGGGCTGCGCCCACCCCTCCCGCCGCGACCCTCTGGGTCCTCGGTGGTGAAAGCGCTGGGCTGAGCTGCGAGGTTTCCCCACCTGCCAGAGGGGGCGGCGTCGCCCGGACAGGCTGGCTCCTTAGCACCCCTTTGGGCTGGGAGGGGAGCCAAGGGGGCCTGAGCAGCTGGCCGGCACCGAACAGCCTGGGGTGCAAGTGATGGGAGGAACTCGGGCCCTCCTGCCTCGGCTCTCTCCTGGCCCCGGCGGGGACAGGGACGAGGAGGTGGGGGTGCCCGCCCTGCGCCCCACACCCCACACGGCTGCGCCTGGCCGGCCCTCAACCCCTCTGCTGACTCCTCTGCTCGGGGCATCACCGGGCCCCACGCCCACAGGTAAACTGAGGACGGAGGAGCCCACGACAGGATCCTGTGAACTCAGCACTGCGTCCCTGCCGGCCTCGCCCTCAGCCCTGCCAGTCCGGGGAGCAGCGAAACCGCAGACCGAGTAGGTAGCGTGCAAACCAGTTTATTTAAAAGATAGAAAGGGCAGGAAGTAGAGGTCCCACCAGCTGGCCAGGAGGGACCCTGGGCACTGGCAGGACACCCACAGGGGCCCACGGGGTAGGGCAATGGTGTGGGGCCTCTGTGCCGCTGGAGAGCCAAGCCGCCCCCGGTCAGGGCCCGGGTAGAGCTCAGTGACACAGCACCTGCCTGGCAAGCACTGGATCCTGAGTTCGACTTTTGGTACCAAAAAAAAAAAAAATTGTGTCCGGGAGATAGCTCAGCAGCACAGTGCCTGCCTGTCAAGTGCAAAGTTCTGAGTTCAGTTCCTGGCACAAAAAAAGAAAAAGCCGCCTCAGGTAGGGTACGGTGCACTCTGGGGTCTGTACATGCTCGGAGGGGAGGAGTGGCACCAGATGACAACGTCATGAGCAATTTGGGCACCAGGTCTCTAAATTCACCATCACTGGTTTGGAGGTTTTTGAGGGGTTTAGAAGAAAATACAGGCTGTTGTGTAAACAACGTATCTCTACTCCTAGGGGAGACGACATATTTTTGCTTGTTTTTATTTTGTGAACCAGGCTCTTACTATGTAGCCCAAACTGGTCTCTAATTTGCCACAATCCTCCTGCCTCAGCCTCCTGAGTGCCGTGATTACAGGCATGCACCACCACACCCAGTTTGAGACTGCATACTTTCTAGGGAGGCCTGTGTCCATGCAGGGCCTGCACCCTTGAGCCAGTGTCCTGCCTGGTCAGACTGGGGAGGTCGAAGGCACCTGCAGGACATCTGGCAGATGTTTTTGGAAGATACTGGGGAGGGTGACTTAGCAGACTCAGGCTGGTCAAACTTGCAGTCCTCCTGCCTCAGCCTCCCAGAGTGCTGGGATGACAGGGGAGCACCCACGCCCACTGGACTAGGCTTTTCTGTAACAAATTCGATGCCCTGTCCAATTTCCCCAGGTACTCTTCACACACTGCCCATAATGTTTGCAGTCTGATGCTCAGACGCAAAACCAGCACAAATGTCTCTTCACAGTTTCATGGCAGATCTGTTCTCTCCACAACCTTAGCAGCATCAGCGTTCGACTCTGCCCTGCCTTATGCGGACAGCGCCACCCCCTCCCCGGGGAGGAAGCACCCGATGGCCTCTGGCATGTCCCCACTCAGGTGGGGACTGAGCTATAAAACAAGCACATGGAGGGGCAGGGGATTTAGCTCAGTGGTACAGCACCTGCCTGGCAAGCGCAAGGTCGTGAGTTCGGTTCCCGGTACCAGAGGAAAAAAAATAGAAAAAACAAACAAACAAGCACATGGGACAAAGCACCTGGGTGATGCTGTGACAGTCGACCAGATGGCCCAGCCCAGGTGGCTGCTAGGGGACAAACTGGTGGGCGGCTCCTAGGGGTCGGGTATGTCAGCAGCTTTGCTCACAATACTCCAAGTGGCACAAGATTTAAGACATTGGTGTACTCTGGGAGTTTCCGATGTCTCTTTGAGACCAAGCCTGGCTGCATGTGATGGAATCTGTGCAAGAAGAGCACTCCAACATGTCCGTCTGTCCACCTCCATCCTGTCTGCTGGCTTGTTTTGTTTGGCTGCAGTGGGGGTTGAGCCCAGGATCTTTGCCTTAAGTTACATCTCCAGCCCTTTGTTGTTGTTCTAATTTTTTATTTTGAGACAATCTCACTAAAGTAGCTAAGACTGGGGCTGGGGATTTAGCTCAGCAGCACAGCGCCTGCCTGGCAAGCGCAAGGTCGTGAGTTTGATTCCTGGTACCGGAAAAAAACCAAAAAAAAAAAAAAAGAAGAAGAAGTAGCTAAGACTGGGTTCAAACTCGCCATCCTCCTGCCTCAGCCTCCCAGAGTGCTGGGACAACAGTGTGCATCACCTTGCCTGGCTTCCATCTGTCCATCCCTGTCGGGATCCATCCACTGATTGATAAGGAGCGGACCCTAACAATCCTCTTCCTCCATGGAGAACCCTGGCTAATGCGGGAGGTCAACCAGATGTGATCACCCAGCCCTTTAAACTGGGGTCCAGAGGTCAGACACCCCCCTGTGCTCCACAGACTCCCCCAATACCAGGAGAGAACCCCACTCCTGAGCCCAGAAGAGAACCCTGACCTCAGGCCAGGCTGCAGCCCCAGCAATGCCTTTGGGCTTTTGCCTGTCTGATGGAACCCGGGGCCTTCACACTGAGCTACATCCTCAGGCCTTTTCTATTTTTTATTTTGAGACAGGGTCTTGCTGAACTGCTAATTGCTGAATTGCCCAGGGTAGGACTGAACTTGCAGTCCTCCTGCCTCAGCTTCCCAGAGTGCTGGGACGACTGGTGTGCACCACCACGCCCAGGTTCCAGTGGGTACCTGGCCTGTAGGCCACAGGACAGTTGTCTTCTGGGCTCAGGAGTGGGGTTTTCTCCTGGTGTTGGGGAGTCTGTGGACAGCTGCACAGGGAGGGCTTCCTCCAGAGCCACCCCGCCCTGCCCGGCCTCATCTCCTGTCTTGTCTTGGTACCCTCCCTGTGCCCGCAGGTGGTTCCTCTCCTGCTGCGTCCGGGCAGCTCTCGCCATCTCGCTCACCTCTGCACCCTCCACTCTGCACACAGTAGCTGTTCAAACCGCGCGTGGCAGCACACGCCTGTAATTCCAGCCCTCGAGAGGCTGAGGGCAGGAGGATCACAGGAGTTTAAGGCCAGCCTGCACTACATAGCTCAAGATCCTGCCTTGAAGAAAAAGAAAAAAAAAAAAAAAAAAAAAGGCCACATTGCTGTTCAGTCCGTGTTTGTTGAATGACCACATCCAGCCCCACGCTCCGGGTAAGGCTGGAATGGGGACAGCGAGGCTGGGGAGTGCCCGCCAGCACCGGAAGTGCAGGTCCTCACTCGCGGCTGGAGCACACAGGAACCCAACCCCGTCTCCCAGCACCACGGACCGAGCGCCCCCTGGTGGAGCAGCCCGAGGCCGCGCCTCAGGCACCGCCCTGGGAAGCGAGGGGCCACTTGCTGCTTCGGAGGAGAGGCGGTCCACACCCCACCAGGTCGCGCCCGGCCCGACGAGACCTCCAGGGCCCCAGAGACCTGGGGTCCGCGCCTCAGCCGCTGGCCACGAGACCCTGGGCCTGAGTCGCAGTGAGGAGGAGCCGAGGACGCACGGGGCAGGCAACAGAGTCAGGGACGATAAAGAAAGAAGCCTGACACCCCAGCACTCTGGGAGGCTGAGGCAGAAGGATTGCAAGGTTGAGTCCCGCCTGGGCAACTCAGTGACTTAAGAGAGACCCTGTCTCTGCCGGGTGTGGTGGCGCACGCCTGTAATCCCAGCACTCGGGAGGCGGAAGCAGGAGGATCCTTTCGAGTTCAAGACCAGCCTGGGCTACAAAGTGAGCTCAAGGCCAGCCTGAACTGCATAGTGAGACTCTGTCTCAAAAAGACAAACAAACAAAAAAAAAAAAGAGAGACCCTGTCTCAAAATTAAAAATGAAAAAGGGCTGGGGATGTAGCTCAGTGCAAAGGCCCTGGGCTCAGTCCTCAGCACCAAAAAAAGAAAGAAATCCCGTGTGTCCCACAAGCAGCCCTGGTGAGGCGCCTTAGGGAGCCTGGTCTCCCACCTGCCCGGCCCTGGTCTTCCACGGCCTGAACCTCAGGATTTGGTGGTGGCCTTGGGCTTCGATTTGCCCGAACGGTCTGGGTCCGGAGCGCGGCGGGTCGGGCGGGCCGAGTCTGAGCGGCCTGTGCGCCCCCACCCGACAGCGCCGCTCCCGCTCCCGCTCCCAGCCGGCACCTGTCCCTCCGCGACGCCAATTAAGGGTCCTCGACATAATCGCTGCGGTTGACGGCGGCTGCCCGGCCTTTGTCCCTTAATTGGCCGCCTCCGGGCGCTGCCTGCGACGCCGCCCGCCAGTCCCATATCCCAGCTCCAGCTATGCGCTAATTGGCACCTGGGGCGCACGCACCGCCCCCCCGCAGCCTATTTCAGCCTCACCTGGCAGCCCGGACCCCATCTGCGGTGCCCGTCCCAGGGGCTAGGGCGCCTTCTGGCCAGCAGTGTCGGGAGGACTCCGGAGCACCCCGGCCATGCACCCCGGAGCCCCCGCAGGCCCTGGGGTCTCAGAGCCCGGCCCCCTCGAGCTGTGCGCCTTCGTGAGTGGAGCGGCGGCGCACATGCTGCGGGCCCTGCAGCCCCGGCGCCCCCGGGCCCCCAAGAGGAGGCCCAACCACCGGAGGTTCCTGCACAACCAGATCTGCAGGTGAGAGCCCTGGGCGGGCCAGGAAGCCGCCCACCTGTGCCCACGGAGCCCCTACTGTGTGCGCGGAGACCCTTCGGGGAGCAGGGCCGATGGAACCCCGGTCCCTGGGGGTGCCGGGTGGTAATGAACCCCCATGAGTCAGTGGCACCGCGAAGCCACGCCAAGGGCAACACGCCAGAGAGAAAAGGCCCAGACCTGGCTGTGGGCGGAGGCTTGCAGGGCAGGGAGCGGGCTGCTACAGGAAAGCGCGTTCCTGCAGAGGGGATGGGAAGTGTGGAAACTAGAGGTGGCCGCTGCACAACGTTGCAAATATACTAAATGCCACTGGATTAACTGCACGGTTTAGAATGATGAATTTTTTTTTTTTTTTCCTCCGGTACCGGGAACCGAACTCACGACCTTGCGCTTGCCAGGCAGGCGCTTTTGCCGCTGAGCTAAATCCCCAGCCCTAGAATGATGAATTTTATGTGTACATTTTACCCCAGTTTTTAAAATATGACAGACAGGCACGTGCCTGTATGTAACCCCAGCACTCAGGAGGATTGCCCTGTGGCATGTGTTAAAAGGTTGTGTGAGCTGTGGTGATGGGGGTGCTGGGGAGAGGTGGCACTGCAGGGCGGTGTCCCGGGAGAGGGGAGGGAGGGAGGCAGATGCCTGAGGTAGAACAGGGGTGGGGCGGGCAGCCGGGAGCCAGTGGCAGGAGCGGGAGGAGGAAGGGGCTGGTAGGCTTGGAGGAGGCCAGGTGGGAAGGGAGCGGCTGCAGGGCCAGGCCTGGGCTGACTGAGGCTGGGAGCACACACGGCCCGGGCGCCACCCAGGGCTGTGCAGTGCCCTTGGGTCCTCCAGCAGCCTTGACGTTCAGCCTCAGGGCTGGGCCCCCTCGGGAGCCCTGGGGCCTCCTGTCTCTGCCCCAGTCCACCTCTCACCCCACACTCTGCCGCGGGAGCGAGGGGGACAGTGCGCTGCATCATCTTGTCTCCAAGAAACCCCATCTCTCAGGGAGGCTCTGTCTTGGTCCCTGTATCACAGCCAGGAGGTTCAGAGAGGCTTAGTGACCTGCTGAGGCTGCACAGCTAGTGAGTGAAGACAGTCCACATGCGTTACCACTGTCCATGCTGCCTGCACCCAGCTTCCCTGGGAGGATGGGGGTGATGATCATGGGAACAATGACAGTGATGCTGGTGCTGATGGTGATGGTGATGATGGTGATGGTGGTGATGGTGATGGTGGTGATGGTGGTG